CCCCAAAACCCCAAAACCCCTGAATTCAATTATTGCCAACAAATTATAAGTAATCTATTTAAATATTAATTTCTAAATAATGGACACCTAAAAATAAGTATAAATTACAGATTAGCTCGTAGAATCACTTAAGCCTGCTCTTATTTTCAAAAATTTTGTAAACCTAAAGTAGAATAACTAACTTTCATAGTAAAAAGAAGTTAACTCAATCGACATATCTCACGATGGGAAGTATTTGGTAGCAGGATGCGAAGATAACTCAGTTTCCCTCTATGATTTAGAGAGGGGAGAGTAAGATATAATTGCGCTAATATAATAAAATTTTAGGAAGGTAAATACCTATTACAGCAAAAGGTATGGAGTAGATTTGGTTAGATTCACTCATCATAACAAATGTATCTTATGCGCAAGTAAACGGGATAACAATTGTAAGAATATATACTTTTATAATCTTCATTTTTAAATAGACAGAATAATGTATTGGTCATTGCATGATAATAATATATTGTGTTCATTTGTGGGACATACTGATACAATAACTCATATTGACTTAAACCCATTAAATAGTACTTTTGTTTCATGCTCTAAGGACAATTCTACAAGAGTATGGGAATATGAAAAGAAGTAATGCATCATCAGAGTTAACAAGTCGAGAGCAGCTTGCTTCGATAACACGGGAAATGTACTTGCTTGCCTTTTCATCAAGGAGGATAAAAATGACAGTCAAATTTAGCAGATTCACCTCTTCAATGCAGGAAACTATGAGAGTGTAAAATTACATATATTTTTATCTATTTTTAGAAACCTTTTAGTATATTCAACCTAGAGGAGTTGCCTGAGATAAAGTTTCTTAAATTTTCATCGAATGGCTAGTTTATAATGCTTGGTTCATCAGAAAATATAATCGTGCTAATCGATGCATATGAAGGAAAATAGGTAAGCATAGTTGCAATATAATGATAAATTTTAGTTACATAAATTCAATGCTAACTTCAATGAAACAGGCACACCTTTAGAGGCTGGATTCACTCCGGATTCTAGGTATGTGATAACAGGCTCTGACAATAAAAAGATTATTTTTTGGAATATCGAGACTGGTCGGGAGATCTAGTTGATGGAGTTTCATCCTAGCACAGTAGCATGTGTCAAATTCTCACATGTCTATTGTATGCTAATCAGTGCATGCTAAAACTTGGTGGTTTGGATTCCTGAAAGAGCTTTCAATTGAGCATTCAAATAACCCAAAATGAATTAAATTGAATAAATAGTTCTCCTTACGAATTATATATAATGATATTGTAAATAATTAATTAAATGCTGAAGAATTAATATCAATACTTATGTTTCATACTTTTATGCTCAATTTTTTACCTAGGGGTTTTGGGGTTTTGGGGAGATCGGAAGAGCACACGTCTG